AAACATTCACTTCAGACATACTTTGACTGAAGAGTTGTTAGTATTGTTTGAGTGGAACTGTTTAAGTGATGCGATTTCGTCGGTCTGTGCGCTGAGTTTGTCGTTCATATTCGCCAAATGCTCGGACATTAGCGACAACTGTTGCTCATAATTGGACACATTGGTGGCCAACTCTTCGCGCAAATGCGTCATCTCATCGGCTTTGGTGTCCATATCCTGAGCGGTGAGCAGTCGCTGCCGATTACATGCGGACAGCTTTTGCTGCAATGATTGACATTCCGTATGATAGGCGACGGCTTTGCTGTCGGCCGCGTGCAAGCCGTCGATCAGCTGTGATATACGGTTCCGTAAATAAGCGGTCACTTGTGGCACGTCTTCGTCGGCCGTCGCGTTACTATTGAGACTGAGTTTGTCCTCCGAAACGGTGGGCGACTGTAGCGACGAACCGGCGAAGTCGTTGCACGACATTTCGATACTCCGTTGACTGCCCGTAGACGGCGTGGAACTGCTAGTCTTCGCCGTCTGTATAGTCGCGGCCGCAGTGCCTGTCGTTTGAGTTAACTGAGCGTTACTATCACTGGTACTGACGGACGGCACTTGAACTGTATCCACGTCTTGTGTGGCCGTCGCGGCGGCCGCCGCCGTCTGACCCCTATTCTTGAGCTCTCTGTCCAGTTTGAGTTGCAATAGCTGTGACTCAAGCATCCAGTGCTCGACCGACTGTTCCGATGCCGACAGTTTGGATTCGCAAATCGATAGCTGTTTTTTAACAGTAAATTTGTAATCAAAGAGTTGCCAACAATTTGTTAACTATTTAGCGATCAATGGCTAGAATACCTGTCGCTGTAGATTCTCGCGCAACTCCTGATGACTGGAACCAATCTCTTCGAGCGACTCCAGTCTTTGTACAATCAGTTTATTTTCATTTTCACTGCAAATACAAATTAATAAAACTAATTCAACGATAATTTTCATTAATATTAAATCACATACAAAGTCTGCGACCGCGTCTTCGTGTCGTCCAACTCTTTGAGACACTGTTTCAACTTCTCCTCCAACGAGTCCTTGTCTTTGCGCAGGGAATCCATTTCCTGACTTCTTGTGGCCAATGATCGGGTCATTTGATTATTGTATTCGTCGTTTTGCTCCTCTGTCTTCCGCAGCTGTTCCTGAAGGTCAGCCATCTTTTGTTGATAATCGGCTTCAATGGTGTTGAGTCGGATGTGAAGCCTCTCATTCTCAGTGATCTTACTCTGAAGTTCGCCGTTTATCACATCCAACACATCGTTCCCGTGTCTGCCATCGATGTCACCGTTGATGGTGTAGTGGGCGGGCGTCGAGTGGGACGAGTGGTGTTGTTTACCACCCTTTTGGGCCTTCTTGTGGTTCAGCTGCTGCTGCGACAACTCGTCCTGAAGTACGGCCACCCGTTTGGCCAACTGTTGGTTCCGGAAGTCCAGACTTTCCATCTCCTGTTCCAAACGGCGAACCGATTGATCCTTTTGGACGACATTGTCCTTCATGTCCAGGCATTTGGTCTGCTCTTCGGTGTACGCGCTCTTCAATACCGTGATCTGCGCCCGCATCTGATCCCATCATTTTTGACAACAAAGCCATCACATCGTGACACCACAAATGGACGACAAAACAAATATTTAGATCACTTATTGGATCAAACAAATAGTCACACCTTTGAGTATTTGGCGGCCAATCGTTGATATTTGGACATCAAGTCGTCCGAAGAGTTGTCTTCGGCCGCGTGTGATGAAGACATCACTCTGTCTGTTGTCCTATAGAATGGATGGACCAATCGGTGAATGGATGGCTAATAGGAGATAATCGGTGGCAACGATAACCACGTGATTAGATAACAACTAATGAGATGTGAAGATAACAAAGAGATCCCAAAAAGTGATTAACAATGTGTGACGAAAGGGGCGTTTGTTTGCATTGTTTTGTGATTACAGACAAAACAATCACTCATTTATGTATTGATGTCTGCAATCAATCCATGCATTCAATGGTCTGTAAACACATCCAAGGCTTCCGATAATAGTCTTAATTAACGATTCAAACGCTTATTAATTATTGTTTTCATAATTAATAGCAATAATCATAACAAACAACTCGAGTGTCACTCAAAGCCCATAATAACAGACAAACTATTGCCTAATGTTTGACTCTATGCTCGCAATACTGGGCTAACCGTCCAATCACTGCACACCACTCACTACCCCTACCACTACAGGGCGACCCCTGTCTGGCGCACAGTAACCCGGCTATTATGATTGGCACAATTAATTTAGTTATTACTTTTGATTTTTTAATTATTATTAATTACTATTAATTAATGAATTATTTAGTTATTTATTTTATATGTAGTTTTTCTAACACGTGATTCGTAAAACTTTTTTTTTAAACTTGATTTAAGAGTTTTTTTATTAATTTATTTTTTGAATAAAATTTTTAACAATTCATTTGATTACCAAAAAATTAAATATATTTTTTGTAATGATTTTCGTGTACTTTCATATAAATTTAATCAAAACTTAAAATTATATAATAATAATTTACATAACAATTAATGTGTTTAGCGATGGGTTCAGACAATAATCCATTGATTGATAACTTAATTTAAAAATTGTTTATAAGATAGAAAAGTCGGCTTTAAAACAATTTTCTTCACTCATTCATCGCTATATCCATACAAATCAGCCAATGATTAGGACATTGTTTTAAATACAAGTGTTTTATAATTAAAAATGTAATTTAATTTCGTTTCGATAGGAAAAATAAGAGCCAAACAAACAGTCGTTTCTCATTACAAGAATCGCTAATTTGGTCCCAAAATATAAAT